TCTTTCATCTGTGTAACTCCCAGAGCTGGGAAAACAGTAATTACGGAGCAGGTGCCACACCCCAGTGATGATGTATTACTAATCTATGAGTACTGGCTGGGAAACTGAGGCCCAGGGAAAAGGCTCTCGCCTCACACTGAGCTAAGGACCTAGCTGCCAAGGGCTGCGGAGTAGTGGGGAACTAGATGTACCTGCTTCATACCAGCTATGCTGTGGGAAGATGCTGAACACAGGGGTATTCATTCCAGACCTAGGTTTTAGGAGATGAGGAAAGACACCAGGTATGTGTCCCAGGGCCCTCCCCAGGCTGCAGCAGGCCTGCTGGGGAGCTCTGGCTAAGAGTCAGGGCCTCTGTTCATCCTCCCAGGGTGAAGCGAAGCAGGCCAGAGGCTGCCTAAGCTTCTCCACCATCTCCGCGGTACACTCAGGCACCAAAGGGTAAGTGAGGGTTCAGCCTCCCGAACAGCCCCATGCTACAGGTAGAGTCTGTGAAGAGGGAGTGGGGGGCATGGGGCAGCTGGGCCGGGGGGATCAGACCAAGAACAGGTCAACAAGTGGGGATGCAACTCAGTGGCTTGCCCTGCCTATCATGCACCAAGCCCTAAATTCAATAATCAGCACTGAAAAAGAAGCGGGCCAGGGAGACTGTGCTTGAACCCCAAGCTCATCTTTATAGCCCCCATTCATCCTTGGCACCAACCCTAAAATGAGAGCCTCCCAACAGCAAGACCTCTCTCTCTCGTCCCTGCTGCAGAAGCTTTCACAGAAGGCCCATTTGACCTATCCCTCTAACAGGGCAGCATGGGAAGGGCAAAAAGTCACAGAGGATCAGAGATCTTTTCCCACTGTAGCCACAGAGGGAAAGAGCAGAGACTCAAACTAGGAGGGAGGGCCAGGTGTTGGGGTGCATGCCTGTAATCCCAGCACTTGGGAGGCTGAGACAGGAGGATCGTTGGGAGTTCGAGACCAGCCTGGGGTACAAAGTGAGCTCAAGGCCAGCCTGAACTGCATAGCGAGACCCTGTCTCAAAAAGACCAAAAACAAAAAAAAAGTCAAACTAGGAGAGAAGGATAAGATGGAGACATTTCATACTCATCCACAGACTATCAAGTGCTGAGCACAGTGGCAGATGCTGAGAACAGACACAATCTAAGCTCCAAGGAAACCCTAAGGGCCAAGCCGGGAGTAACTAGTGACCTTGTCCTCCAAGACGGTGTCAAAGGGGAAATATTAAGGGTCTTGTTCTAAGAGATTTGAAGTTCTTCTTCAGCGTGGTAGAAAACTGACCAGCATCCTTGGGAGGCCTTGGGATAATACTCCAAACCTTCAGGGGTCCTCTCTGCAATCTAGATTCAAGAACTGGCCTCTGCTTTAAATATAACCTGGCTCCCACATGAATGAAAAATAAAGGCAGAATGCTAACATATAAAACTAGTCAGAGCCAGGTGTGGTGGCGCACACCTGTAACCCCAGCACTTGGGAGGCTGAGGCAGGAAGATCGTTGCGAGGCTGAGACCAGCCTGGGCTACAAAGTGAGCTCAAGGCCAGTCTGAACTGCATAGCAAGACTCTTGTTTCGAAAAGACAAAAAAACACAAAAAATCCAAAAAAACCAAACAAAAAAAACCAACCCAACTAGCCAGAGTCAGGAGTCTAGCGTGTGATACCACCATATGAATCACTCCCCGCTCTGGACTTCAGTTCCCAGTTTCTAATGTGAGGGTATTGGACTACACTGTCTCTAGGATTTCTTCCAGCCTGTGGAAGCTCTCTGTTGTTTTGATGTGGTCGCAAATCGCAGGTCAATTTACATAAATTTGCATGTTCAATCAGAAATCCCAAACTCAAGTATAGAAAATCCAATCAGTCCATTAGTGCAGTCAGACAGGCTGGAGGCGCCTGCCAGGTTCGGATGAGGTTCGTCAAAGCAGACTGTGGTAGTAACAGTGACTCGGGGGAGGGGCTGGGGCACACGGGAGTGAGACTCAGCATTTGTTCTGAGAGCCGCAGCTCTGGTGACCCCAGAGCACCAGTAACCCCACTTTGGCTATCGGGCAAGAATCCTTTCTCCTCCTACTTCTAACGGTGCTTCTGGCTGGCAGCCTCAGAGCCACACCCCAAGAAGGAACAGCAGCCTCTGCCTAGCAACAGCTGCATCCTTCACTCTGCCAGGGATTCCACTATTGCCCACTTCTGGGAAACTGACCTCCCTGGGAGCTTCCATTACCCATTCCAAGGGCTCAGAGCAGTGAGGAAGATTTCCCTGGGGTCTAACCTAAATGCCTCCTGCTGCAACTTCCCCAGCAGCGTCCTGGAAAGAGGGTTCCCAGGCCCAGGAGAGTAGGCGGAGGGAAAAGCAGTGCAGGAGAACGTGCTGCATACCCACCCAGTCCCTGGGCCTCTCTAACCAGCACCTCTCCTTTAACATTCCTCTTTACCTGGGAGACCAAGATGAAAACAAACAAGAACAGGAGGACTGTTGGCTCTGGGGCTGCTGGAAGCAAGTCCTGACCTGGAGAGACTGACTCCTGAGAAAGCCCAATCCCCAGGAGCAACGGGGCTGGGAAAGGTGGGGTGGGGGCAGCTTCTCTTCAGTGCTGCTAGGCTGCGTGAGGGCCACAGACGGTTCCTTAGCCCCCTGCCTGGGAGCTGAGGCTGAGCGCAGAGACAGGTGGCCGGGCCAGGGAGTGGGATGGGCGATGGCAGGGGGGCCTCCCTGCCCTCTTCCCACAGGGTGGATGAGTACACTGTGCTCCCTGGCCAAGAACCTAAAACAAGTCCCAACAGCTGGGATTCAAGCTGTCTCCTGGGAACCTGCTTACCCTGCTGGCCCTTGGCTGCCTCCTCTACACTCAACCCCTCCCCAAAGGCCCAGCTCAAAGAGTGGCCCAGCCAGGATGTCTCACCAGAGGCCTTGATGGGTGGGCCAAACCCAGACCAGCAGGAGTTCAAATCTCAAGGCACTAGGAGTGTGAACTACAATGACTATTTTGAGAATACTCAGGCAGGATGAGGGATTCTGCTCCCTAACCCTAAATAACTGTGGCAACCGCCACCTTAGCTCTCCAAATAGAGCCACCCTGTCAGAGGACCTTTCTCCCTTCTAGCCACCTACCAGTCGAATCATCCAATATCAAAAAGTAAAAGGGAATTTTAGACCTTTCTAGTCCCGCTGCTAAGTTTTAAAGGTGAAAAAGACAGCCTCAGAGAGACAAATTGTCTTGGCCAAGGTCACAGAGCAGACGAGGAAGAGCAGGGCTGAGTCTACCTGCATAGGTTTCTACCTGCCCGCCAGCGAAGTACCTCCTGCTCTGCAGCCCACGACGCCTCTCTAGGTTTTCTCTCCTGAGAGGCACGAGCTGGAGAAGGATGTTGGTGGGCTGAAGCTACCTCACACATGGACCAAATTTTGGAAACAAATTTGAACTATACAGGAATACCCTCCTCAGATAGGAAGAGGTGGTTTCCCTAGATTAAGAACCCAGTGATCCCTGTTTGTTCTTAGATGTGTGTGCATAAGGGAGAGGCCAACGTGAGAAGCGAGTATTGTTCTTCTGGCCACACAAGGGGTCTGAGAGAGCCAACTGGCATGATGTCTGGAGGATAAAGTCTGCAATGAAGCAGTTGGTTTACATTCATTTTCCCCAAAAGTACTGACCACACAATGGTTAGATATCGTCCCCGTCTCCAGTGTCTCCGAAGGACCACCCGTCTCAAGCCTCTGCCTCCAACTACTTCCTCCGGCTGACAGCGTGCTTAGGCTGGAGGACCCACGGGGGAGGCGGCAGGTCGGTGACAGAGGGGGCGCCTCTACGTCTCCCACCCTCAGGAAGGCACGCCTTTAAGAAACTTGCTGGGCGGGCTCAGCTGACGAAGGTCTGAGCCGCCTGGAAAATCAGACCTGTGCGAGGTAAGGGCTCTCTGTGCCCTTGGGACAGTGCCAAGACCGGAGAGACCGAGGGACTTTGGGTCTAGCATAAAGAAAGAAGCTGCGGTGCGACAGCCTCTTTCCTAGGCGGGCTAAACCCGGGGAGTGTCGGGCACAGATAGATTCTCTGCATTCTTTTGGCACCGCAGTCAGGACACAAGAGAGCCTTTTCCGCAGGCGCTGCCCGGTTCCTACTGCCTGCCCAGCCCTCTTCAGCGCGCAGACGGCCGGGCTTCCTCCTCCTTCCCGCAGCCCCTCGAAGCCTCGGAAGGGCAGTTCCCCGAGACCAGGTCTCTCCGCCTCTCCCCGCCTCCCCCACGCCCTACCGCCCCAGGCCACGGGGACTGAAGGCGTGAGAGCGCCGCCCCAGGCTCGTTTCTGCGCCTGCGCTCGGGGGACAGGCCCCCCCAACCATGCCCCGCTAAGCCGCACCGAACGGTGGGATTCGGGTGGGGTGGGGTGGGGTGGGGTGCGCAGCTGGGGCAAGGTCAGTGCTTTCAGAGCGAGGGAGGCCGGCCACCGGAACATCCCCCACTCCCGAAAGTTTCCCTTCCGGGGCCATGGAGTGTGCGCGAGGATGGCGCAGGGGGCGGGAGGGGGTGGGGTGGACAGAGTCGCAGCCGGACCCCGGGGACAGGGCGGCGGGAGGGAGGGGCAGGCAGTGAGGTGCGGGCAGGAAGCCGTGACGCCCCCTCCGGCCCGAGGCTGCCACGAGAGCCTCACCCTCTACACTCCCCAGCCCCCCGAGCGGAGCTTATAGAGCTCCCCACCACCTCACCGCCCTTCAAATCTCAAGTAAGCCTAGAACTCACCGAAATCAGGTGTTGAGCTGGACCAGGGCGAGCCAAATCAGCCAGGTCCATGGCCGAAGATCGGGGGCGGGGGGCAAAGAAAGGGGGGTGCCGGAGCTGCCGCTTGATGTCAAGGCTTTAAAGGGGCCAGTGAGCCCCGCCCCTCACCAAGACCCCGCCTCCGTCCTCCAGCACAGCCAATCGTCATTCACGCTGGCTGCACGCTCCTCCCAGCTCCCCGCCAGATGTTCCCAGGACTAGAGCTAAATCTGCCCGGCAGGCGCGCGCCGCTTCCGCCTGGGTGGGAAGGGCCTCCCCTCCCCCAGCGAGAAAGTCTGCTGCCCGACCTGGTAAACCTCACCAATGCCCTGGTAGGGGACGCCGGGCTGGGCCAAGGGGAGCAGGGGTGGGACAGGGGCGTCCAGAAGGACAGAGAAAACTAAGTAGATAATGCGCGGGCCCGCAGGCATGCGCCTCTGCTTCTGTGGGGCTGGGCGTGCACGTGTATATGTGGTTGTGAGCGTTGGTGTTTGCAATTTGCCGTCCTGCTTACGTGTTGAGTGTAAATCCATGGGAAGAGGCTTCAGTACCTCCTTGGCCTTGAATGCTCCTGCCTTCTTCCACGATCGGGTCTTCCCAGTAATCTGGAGAACCGGTGCTAGAGACAGGCACCACTTGGAGGAGAGTAGTGTCGGCCTTTTTTTCTTCATTGTTTAAAAGAGAGGAATGCAGTATAGAAATTGTGGCCACTTGCTGTCTGTGGGGGTTCTAGTTGGAACCACCTGCGGTAAAGAGGAAACAAGCTCAACAACCCACCCAGGCCCCTGCAGAGGCTTGAGCACCCTTCAATACTGTCCTCATTGGTCTTTGTTTGTTTTTCTGTTTTTCTTCCGGTACCAGGAATCGAACTCATGACTTTGCACTTGCCAGGCAGGCGCTCTTGCCGTTGAGCTAAATCCCTAGCCTCCTGTTCTCATTGGTCTTTAAACATCAGTTTGTCAGAATATATTATAATCTTCACTAAACAAATTGTACTGATTGGCCCAGTTATGTAGGTTCAGAACTAGGTTCTTCAGGGAAATACAAAGACACTAGACACCAGGCACGGTGGTGCACGCCTGTAATCCCAGCACTCGAGAGGCTGAGGCAGGAGGATCCTTGCGAGTTTAAGGCCAACCTGAACTGCATAGTGAGACCCGGTCTCAGAAAGACAAAACAAAAACAAAAACAAAGAAACACTAGACAGTAGTGTCTGCTTATTTTATTAAAATTGCTTCTTTTGTAGGTATACACAGGATGTGACTTAAATAAATAGTCCAATAAAGGAACATAAAAAGTGAGGGAACACTGGATGGTCACACTGATTAGGATTAAGAGTTCCTCTCTGAAAGAGGCTTCTTATTTAAAGTGGGATTTAGGTGGGGTGTGGTGGTACACACTTGTAATCCCAGCACGCTGGAGGCTGAAGCAGTTCAAGGCCAGCCTGGGCTCCATAGTGAGTTCAGGAGCTGAAGAGACTGCTTTCTGTTGTGAGACCCTGTCTCCAAAAAGTGGGTAGGATTTGAAATTTGAGTAGGATCGAGGCAGGTTAAGGACAGGAGAATCTGAAAAGAGGAAGTTATCAGCATGGGCCAGTGTTCAGGGTATACTGGTATGCTGTGTGTGGTGGCGCATGCCTGTAATCACAGCACTGGGGCGGGGAGTGGTGCGCAGCTGAGGCAGGAGGATCATTTGGAGTTTGAGACCAGCCTGGGTTACAAAATGAGCTCAAGGTCGGCCTGAACTGCACGGTGAGACCCTGTCTCAAAAAGAAAAAAAAAAGGACATATTGGTAGAGTGGGAAGTGACAGAAGTTAACGCAGGAGGTTTTGTATGGAATTGAAATGAGGATATAGATTTGACAGATGAAAAAATAGTCATTTTAGGTTCTTGAGCCCAGGAGTAACTTGATAAAAACTGTCTGAGGACAGCCGTTAGAGCCTAAAAGATGACATGATGTTTACTCTTGCCAACTCTCAAAAAAAATTTTTTTTTTCTGGTACAGGATGAACCCAGGGCCTTCACACTGAGATTTTGTTATGTTGAGGCAGTGTCTCGCTAAGTTGGCCAGGCTGGGCTTGAACTTGGATCTTCCTGCCTCAGCCTTGCAGAGTGCTGAGATTACACCTGTGTGCCTCCATGCCCAATTCAATTTTTTGTGTGGGAGAGAGCTGAACAGACTGCCTTCTGTAGCAGAAGTCAGTGACCTTTGAGGATGTGGCCGTGAACTCCACCCAGGAGGAATGGACTTTGCTGAAGTCTTCCCAGAAGAATCTTTACAGAGCTCCGACCTTCTAGAACTTGGCCTCTGTAGGTCAAAAATGGCAGTACCCAACCATTGAAGATAATTTAAAAAATCTCAACAGAAATCTAAGATGTCGAGTGCTAGAGAGATTCTTTGAACATAAAGTAGACAACGTGGAAAAATGTTCAGCAAGACTCCAGATCATAGAGTGAACAAGAAAAACTCTAGGGTAAAATGACGGAAAAGCCACATGTATAGAGAAGTGTCCAGTAGTCTTTGTTTCTGAGGGACATCATAATTAACCGTGGACATAGGCCATCTGCGTATCAGGACTGTATAGACAGGCCCCTTGAATGTAAAAAATGTGATAAAACTTTTAAGTGGCCCTGTGACCCTTGAAATTATGAAAGGACTCACATTGGAGAATCATACCTCACATGTACTTAACTTTGGTATAACTATTTCAGTCAACTGGAAAATTTCGTTTTTGTTTTTTTTCAACTGAAAAACTTTGAGCTTTAATAGGTATCGTATAACATTTTACTGCTTTGGGAACAGTTCAAGGATCTTCAGCCAGTTTGCCTAAGCATTGCCTAAGCATTCTCAGATTTTAGTTTCATATTTTTAAAGTGTGCTTATGATAACTTTATAGATGATTCATTAAATCCATTTTGAGTATCTTGCATTATTTAGTATTTTCATAACTAAAAATCATAGTAATAAGTGAAAAACAACACTGAGAATGAGTGTTTTAAGCCTCATGGAAGACAAAGGAATTATGGAGCAATCAAATAGTAACTAATCCTTTAGCTCCTGTCACTGAGAATGAAGGTTTTTTGGTTTTTGACAGTAGAATAATTACAATTTTATTACTTGACTGGATCAAACACCCTCTGTCCAAAAAGAGCCAATGATGGACATATTATTAACAACATAAATTTTAGGTTTCCTTCACATTGGGTATAGCATTATGCTCTTTATATTACTTACCTTCACAGGTTTTTCTAGACAGAGGAACTTTTATGGCACACTGAAACGGTTACAACCGATATTTTTCTTGTATAGTTCTCATTCACAGGGTTTCATTCTTACATGTGGGCCAACTAAAGATCTTTGCACATCTCTTCTACTAATGATGTTTTTCTCCATACTGTGTTCTTTTAACTCTGTGAATGGAACCCAGGGGCTAGAGGCTTTCCCGCAATCTACCCTAAAAGGATGTGCCCCTGTTAGGCATTGTCAGGTGGACTATGGTGGTTGTGGGGTAAAGAGGCCTTCCACATTCTATATTTAGGGTTCCTGGTGAGCATGAGTCCTTATGATTTTGCAAGTAACCATAGCTCCTGGAGACTCTCCCACATTTCTCACATGCACAGTGTCCATCCCCACTGTGAGTTTTCCCACGTCTTAGCTCTCAGAAAGCTTTCCCACATAGCTCACACCCAAAGGTTTCTCTCCATTGTGGTTTCTTTCATGTATTCAAAGAGTACTGGCACAAATGAAGGTTTCTGCAGTGCTTACATACAAAAGGTTTCTCTCCAGTGTGGATTCTTTCATGTATTTCAAGGAACTGAACACTGGAAGGATTTCCCACATGGCCGGCATATATATATGGTTTTTCTCCAGTATGAATAGTACATGTCTTCTTTGATAGTAGGTGGAACAAGTGAAGGTTTTCCCACACTGCATACCTGCAAAAGGTTTCTCTCCAGTGTGAGTCCTTTCATAATTTCAAAGGTCATAGGGCCACTTAAAAGCTTTATCACAAACATTGCCCTTTCCTCAAGTCATTACAAAACAAGCTAGGCCTCTTCAGTGTCTGGAGCTGTGAACTGTGTAATGAACCAGTTCAGTGTACGGCCTAACTGGTAGATGATCTCAGAGAACTGCCCCCTCACTGCTCACATCAGCAATTTGAATGGGGTGCTAGGTTCAAGTACTGTGTTGGGGCACTTTATTCCTTAAGAGTTGACACAGCTATTTAGCTACTATGTTACACTGGCTGATTAACCCAAGTTTATTTTTTTTTAACCCACGTTTAGAACACCTTATATCAGGCATCTGGCTGACAAATAGTCTCTCAAACCATTTTAATCTGGCTCCTCTCCAGGTTAGGTTAACTCCTAAGCACAATCTTGATGTCCTTCCTGCTTGGTAAGAGGAAGAAAGGCGCTGATTAGCCTGGGCAACTTAGCAAGATCTTGTGTCAAAATAAAACAGTACAAAGGACTGGAATGTAATTCAGTGCCTCTGGGTTCAACAAGGGAAGGAGCTGGTTAATATTTGGTGCATTTACTCAATAGGAATAGATCCTTGCTACTGCTGCCTAATTCTACAGGGGACAATCATGTTCTCTGGAATCTGCTAGCATTATCAGTAATGTGCTTTGAAACCCCTTACCTGGCATAGATAGAATGGATCTGCTCAGGTCTTTGAGCCCTTTCTTCATGCCTGTGTTCAAAAATATTTGTATTAAGCCTATACTGTATGGCAGTTACTATGCAGATAGAATTAGGTAAGTAATTAAATTCATATAGGGTGGGACATGCAATGAGACTGCAAAGGTAAACACTGCAAAGATCATACTTCATCCTAAAAGCAACCAGTGCCTTTGAGCTGTTTTAAGCAGTGGGTGACATAATTAGTTTTGCATTTTAGAAAGATCATTGTAGTTAGTGTGGAGAAGAGAAAGTAAAATTGAAATCAGAGACACCATACAGAAAGTTTTTTATAGTAACTGAGGAGAAAAATGAGAAATGATGTGATGTGGACTAAGAACATGATAGAGGAGATATTCAGGAGGGACCTTCAAGAAATAAATAGCAGTAGAATCCATAGACCTTGGCATCAGAAGTAGGGGGAAGCAAGACAGCTAAACTAAGACTTCTGGGATGGGTAATTTACAGGTAGCAAGATCACTAACTGAAGCCAAAAACACTGGAGAAAAGGTTTGGGAGATAATATGTTCACTTCCAATCAAGAAATCAGAGCTTCTAAACTGTTGTGCCTCAGGAAGAGGTTACAGATATGCTCTACACTGATCTCATTTCTTCGTGTAGCCCAGTCTCCTGGAGACAGAAGTCTTGCTTATGGTGGAGCACATCATTCAATGTAGAAAACGCTGTCATTTTCTGTAGTCAGGAGTGGTGGTGCACACCTGTAACCCCAGCACTCAGGAAGCTGAGGCAGGAGGATCACTGAGTTCAAGGCCAGCCTGAACTACATAGTGAGACCCTGTCTCAAAAACAAAAGCCAAACTGAACCAAAACAAAACAACCCCCTCATTTTCTACGTGTGTCATGATGTGGAAAAGGCTGGGAAGCACTCTTGTAGGCTGCTGGATAAATAATTCTGAAGCTCAGCAGGGGGATCTGTACTAAACAGATTTTGTTTTGTTTTGGTTTTTTTTTGGGTACCAGGAATCGAACTCAGGACCTTGCGCTTGCCAGGCAGGCGCTTATGCCACTGAGCTATAGAGCTATATCCCCAGCCCCAGATTTTGTTTTGTTTTGGAGGCAGTCTCATTACATAGTGCTGGCTGGCCTTGAACTTGCTTATGTAGCCCAGGGTGGCCTCAAACTCACCATGATCCTCCTGTTTCAGCCTCCTGAGTGCTGGGATTACAGGTATGAGCCACTATGCCTGGCTGTACTAAAGAGATTTGTGAGTCATCAAAACATTGCAGATTACTGAAGCCACAGGATGGAAAAGAGAGAAAGGCTAGACCACCACCAAGGAATGCCAACATTAGATAGGAATCTCCAGAGAAGGAAAATTGGATGGTGCTCGCACTAGAGCCCAAGAAAGGTTAAATAAACAAATAAAAAACCAGTACATAGTTCCCACTACTACTGAGATGAAGTTAAATCAAGACAGACATCCTTGCTGACTACTGCCACATGTTACTGGAGACTTTGGTAAAACCAGACTTTTTTTTTGAGACAGGGTCTTTCCATGTAGTTCAGACTAGCCTTGAACTCACTATGTAGCCCAGGCTGCTCTTAAACTCGAGGAGATCCTCCTGCCTCAGCCTCCTTAGTGCTGGGATTACAGGCATGCAAATTAATGAAGACCATAGTAAGCATGGAGATAAGGTATTTAAACTCTTCCAGGAAGTTTGGCTATGCTGTGAGGGGGGAAAAAATAGGCAGGTAGATGGGTGGGGCAATAGAGGATGAGTTATTTTACAAAGTTATTTTTATTTTATTTATTTACTTATTTAGTCTTTTTGAGACAGGGTCTCATGCAGTTCAGGCTGGCCTTGAACTCACTTTGTAGTGCAAGCTGGTCTCAACCTCATAGCGATCCTCCTGCCTCAGCCTCCCGAGTGCTGGGATTATAGGCATGCACCACCACACCCGGCTTTCTGCAGTTACTTTCTGTGAATGTCTTTTCTGACAGATTTTGAGTATTTTATAATAAAATTAGTTCTTTGTCATATACACTGCAAATAGTTTTCCTAGTTAGTAGTTTGTCAAGCAACTTTATTGGACATTTCTTTTTTTTTGCCTTAAACTTACTTTTTTCTTTATGGCTTTTAGATTTTATTTGTAAAGTACTTCATTTTTTAAAATTGCTTTTATTCTCTAGTATGTTTATGGTTTTCTCTTTACTTATAAATATTCCACCCAAAATCCAGTTAAGGGGCCAAGATCATCATACTTCCCGTCCAGAATGACAGCCACAGCTCACATCAGTCCATCCTGTCTTTCTGAATGTGCAAAGACCCAGGCCTGTGTCCTTTCCTCCAGAGAATGTTCTCTGGTTTGTTGTTCCATAAGCTATATTCCTTACAAACTCAAGTCCCACATACTCCAGAAAGTCTTCCATGCCAATGCAGCCCAAAGACTTTTCCTTTTCTAAAGCTCCAATGATCACTTATCTTGTATAAGCCTCTTTTCTCAATTTTAACCTATTTGTGAATGAATGGTATCTAATCTTTAGAAATCTGGGGTTATTTAATCTACTTTCTCTCCTATTCCTATAGCAGCTAAAAGCACATCAAGTATATGAAAGGAATTGGACACAGTTTTTTGGTGGCCTTATGTTGAGCGACATCCCCCCCCCCAAGCCCTTTTTATAATTATTTTTACATTTTGAGACAGGGTCTTCCTAAGTTGCTGGCTTGGAACTTGCCATCCTCCTACCTCAACCTCCCAAGTAGCTGGTATTACAAGTGTGTGCCTGGCCACAATTCTTAATTTATTTTGGTGGTTCTGGGAATTGAACACCATCAGAGTTACATCCCAAGATCTTTTTAAAATTTTGCGGTAGGGTCTTGCTAAGTTACCCAAGCTGGCTTAGAACTTAGGATCTTCCTGCCTTAGCCTCCCAAGGAGCTAGGATTACAGGCATGCCCCATGGCACCTGACTCACAATACTTCTTAATTTACCATGAAAATGCACTAGCCACATGTAGCTGATGAGCATCTGAAGTGTAGCTGGTCCAATGGAAATGCACTGTAAAATATAAAATGCATACCTGATTTTACACTTAGTATATAAAAAAAGTATCTCATTTTTATATTGACTGCATGTTGAAGTAATATTTTGGAGATACTAGAATATACTTTTTAGACTTGATCTTAGCCAAAAGGCCAAGAACTGATTGCACAAAATATATTTTTTAAAATGTTAAAGTCTGCCCAGAGTCATTCTCTTATTTTTTACCCATCAAGAAGGCTCATCATGCTTGGTATTGACACCAAGGTTAGGCTGATTTAAGGGTAAGATGATCTTTCTTGCAGCCAGAGCTATTCTCACTATCTCCAGGGCTCTAAAGGCCACTGTGCAATCATTATCTTCTTGGTATCAGGTCTTCATCTTTCTGAGCACTAATTACACATTTTCTTCTAAACCGCTGCAGACTTGAAATATGATGGTTTCTCCCAACAGGCCAGGTAACTGCTTAGTCAACAGAATGTTACTAGGGAAGAGGTCAGATTCAGATGCTAAAGCATTTCCCAAATTTTTTGGTGGTTCAGGTTTTCTCAGTTAACCATGCAGACAGAGCCTCTGCATATCCCTTTGGTCACTGGGACGTGTTTTGTTTTGTTGAGATAGGGTCTCACCATGCAGTCCTGGCTGGCCTCAAATGCATGGTGATCCTCCTGCCTCAGCCTTCTAAGTGCTGGGATTCCAGGCATGTGCAACCACACCCATCTCTCTGGGGTCATTTTCTGCCATCAAGTGCTTGGGGCAGGTGTCATTTGGCCTTGTAAGCCAGTCTTCTAGTACTCAAGAGTCCCTGTATTGGTTTCCTTTTACTGCTAGAACAAATCACGACAGTCAGTGCTTAAAACAGCACAGGTTTATTCTCTCAGTGCTGGAGGCCAGAAATCTAAAATCAAGGTGTTAGCGAGTTGTATTTGGTTCTGCTGTGAGATACTGTTCATAGCTTCCAGGGATTGGTACACAGACATCTCGGGGGTCCATTACTCAGCTTACCACAGCCCCATGCACATATATTTTCTTGGTCTGCCTTGGCAAGGGTAACAGGACAGAAAACCCAGTAAGTTTTTAAAGTGTTTCTAAAATGAGGTCTTCAGAGGATGCGTAAGTTCATCTCCGTAATCACTGGTAAGCACTCTGAGAACTGGCTCTATATCCTTTAGCTCTATATCCCTTCCTCACAACATTGTTTTCTTTAAAATGCCATGCAGCGCTGAAGCTGAACTCCTTATTACTTCCTCATCCTGAAAAAACAAATTGTTAGGGTAGTAAGATGCATGCTTTCTGTGAGGTTTTTTTTCCTCAAAAAAAGTCTTTGGCCTCACAGGCATGAATATCTGCAGCATGCATACGGAGTATCACCACAAGATAATACAAGCTTATTTTTATTTAACACTATATTCTGCAAAATCTTTCACTTCTCTTATCTCATTTGGGTACAGGAAAAGAAAGTTGTTATTTCAGTTGTACATGAGTAAACTGTGGCTACAAGGCAGGGAATGGATTGGAAGTAGGCGGCTTAACACGGAAACCAGCCACATGGATAGAATGAATGGGACTTACATGTTATCGGTAGAATTTGGTGGATCTGTGACCATTTCAGTGTGGGGAATATGAAGGAAGGGTCAACACAGGTTTTTTAGCATAAGCAATTAGTGTCACCAACTGAGATAGTATTAAGTTTGGAAAGAGGATAATGAATTTGCTTTGGGGATATGCTGTATTTGAGATGCCTAAGAACTAGTTAGGAGGATTATAATTATAAGACAGGGGGCTGGGGATATAGCTCAGTGGTGTGGTGCCTGCCTGGCAAGCGCAAGGTCATGCGTTCGATTCCTGGTACCCCCCCCCCAAAAAAAATTATAAGACAGGAAAAATATTAGTCTGGAATCATGGACCAGGGCTACCAATATATTTAGGAGTGTTAGTATGTAAGTGTTAAAGACATGAGAGTGGAAGAACTCACCCCAGGAAAAATATGTAGAAGCCTAGATGGAACCCTGAAAAACCCTAAGGATTCCAAGTGTTACCTATTTCTCTTTATATCAGAATCATAAGGTAACTGTTAAAAAGAGTCCTCATTAGGAATGTAATTAATGGCACAGAAAATAGTTACACGTAAATAGTTAGAATGATTTTATGTTAGGTATCTTTTACCATAACACAAGAATGCAATAAAATAGATTCCTAAGCCTTACTGCACACCTGAATTACCATCCTGGGTTCATAATTTAAAGCTTTTAAACATCTTTTAAATGTTAGTGCACACATCTTTTCTAGTACCTCTAAGTACTGAGCCCAGCCTGGGCATGTTAGAGACTTGACATGCTCTAGAAAGATAAGATGCTTTTCCTACTACCCACTTTCTTCATGTCAGACTGGACTGTGAGGTTTTGCTCAAAAGCAGGCCCAAAAAACACCTGGGGAAACAAGATCAGATATAAGGAGATCAGGGAACTGACACATTCTTTTCGTTGTTGTTGCTGGTATTGGGAATCGAACTCACACTTGCCAAGCGGGCACTGTGCTGATGAGCCATATCCTTGGTCCCAAGGGATGACACATTCTAAAATTAGCCTCATCTTCGTAATATCCCCCAAAGTGCCAAGTATGGTGGTGTACATCTGTAATCCCAGCACTTAGGAGATTGAGGCAGGAGGATCACCATGAGTTTGAAGCCAGCCTGGACCACATAGTGAGTTCAAGGCCAGCCTACACTACAAAAAGACTCAAAAACAAAAATAAGCGCCAGGTGTGTTGGCACACATCTGTAATCCCAGCAGCTGGAAGGCTGAGGCAGGAGGATCATTGCGAGTTTGAGACCAGCCTGGGCTACAAAGTGAGCTCAAGGCCAGCCTGAACTGCAGAGTCAGACCCTGTCTCCAAAATGACAAAAACAAAACAAAACACCCCAAAGGCTGGAGATGTGGCTCAACAGTAAAACACGTTTAGCATTCACAAGGCTCTGGGTTCCAATCCCCAGCACTACAAAGCAATTCATCCTCGTCAGGGGTTGTCCCAGCGGGGACTAGATAACTGATTCTTTTTGTTGCAAGCCTTGAATATTTTGCTAGAAGTTTCTGTGAGGCTTTGAACTGTCTGTTGCAAAACAGTGAACATATTTCTCAGTATAAAACACTTTCAACTTCTCTTTCTTGGTTTTCCCGCCCTATCACCTCATTGCCTGCAGAACCTTAATCTGTTCCTTTCTTTCTCTTCTTCTATCAGTGACTCAGGGATCGGATGAGTCTCTATGGTATGTTTTGCCCTGAAGAGCAGGAGGCTTCGGTCCCAACTGGTATTACCAAAGCAGCACACTAATTCCATGCCGTGATCCTGGGTCAAGATCTGTACAATCTGACTTGCCATGTCACCCCGGATGGCAAGTGAGCGGAAGTGGTCAAAATCATGGAGTCCCAGCTTTCGGAGCCGCCTTGCAGCTGCCCGGTAACACTTCCAAGGCTGAGGCTCCACAAGGAGGTAGCGGCAGAGAGAGGAAAGATGGGCTAAGAATTCCCATAAGCCTTGGTCCCCATGATTCAGATGAATCCACATAGTTATCGACATGCAGAAGCCAATGTCAAAAACCAAACATCCAAATTGGCTTAAGAAAGAACTCAAGAGAACCTTCCGGGTCCTTTGATTCATGAAGTCCAGGGTGATAAAGGTCAAGGCATCAGGAAAAGGACATTCTTTTTCAGCTCGTTCTACCAGGGCTGGATCTATGTCACAGCAGAGGAGACGGAGTTCTCTGGAGGCATCTGAGCAGGTCTCCCCATCGTGTAGGGAAAGGAAGTGTTTGTATAGAGCCACACTCAGATCCTAGAGGAATCCAAAAAAGCTTTGTCATTGCAGTTCTCAACCAGTGAATGGAAGAGAAAGTTACCTCACATCCTCTGAGCCTGCCACTTCACCTTTGGCTTTATAGGATGTGCAACTCCTAAACTGTAGGCAGAGGAGTTGTAGTTTTTCACGAGCAGATTCTCAGCGCCCTCCAGGGGCCACAGGCTGTAATGCACCATCCCTACATTTTCCAGACTTAGCAAAGAAGCTTCAGGCACTATTTTCCTTTGTAAGTAACATGCTGGTAAACACATCTTTTTCTGGGTTCCTCAGACTCAAGGGAGAAAAGGCATAATCGGTAGCTCTCAACAGGGAGGTGAGGAATTTTATGTCACCGGATGAAAACCTGTTTCTCAGCCTATGGTTGGGAAAGTCTGGATTCCAAAAAGTTTTCAATCAACCTTCATCCCATGGCTTTCAATTTTATTATATTTTACCAACTCCTTCTGAGACATTCTCTACTTCTATAGCTATCACTAATAAAGGTCACTAGTGAACTTTATGGCCAAATCCAATGGTTTATGATTTTCTTCATCTTAGCATCCTTTTGACTCTTAACTGTCATCATCTCCTTTTTCTTTGATTTCTTTCACCATTAAAACTAACTTTAGTTAAGGGCCAGGGATATAGCTTAGTGGCACAGTGCCTTGCTTGGCAACTGCTAGGTCCTGATTTCGATTCTCAGTATCAAAAAATAAAAATAAGAGCTGGGCGTGGTGGTGCACACCCATAATCTCAGCACTTGAGAGGCTGAGGCAGGAGGATCGTTGTGAGTTTGAGACCAGCCTAGGCTACAAAGTAGCGCAAGGCCAGCCTGAACTGCATAGTGAGACCCTGTCTCAAAATGACCAAAAAAAGAAAAAAAACAAACAAAAAAAAACCCCAAAAAACCACTTTGTAAGCCAGGCATTGTGGCGCACACCTGTAATCCTAGCACTTGAGAGGTTGAGGCAGGACTGTTGTGAGTTCGAGACCAGCCTAAACTACACAGTTAGACTGTCTCAAAACAAAACAAAACAAAAACCCTAACTCAAATTTGTGTTGTTCTATAAGACATTTTCCATCTGCCTATTCATTGCTTCTGCAACATTCTGTGCAGGTGAAGGAAGGCACACTGAAAACCACTCCTATGTCTAGTAAATAGTAATATAGACAAACGTAACATAGTCATGAAAATGGAAAAGCAAAGAGTACTTTGAAATAAAAACTCAGCCTGGTGTGGTGGTGGCACATGCCTGTAATCCCAGTACTCAGGAGGCTGAGGCAAGAGGATCATTGTGAGTTCGAGACCAGCCTGGGTTACAAAGTGAGTTTAAGGCCAGCCTGAACTGACCCTGTCTCAAAAAGACAAACAAAACAAAACAAAACAAAACAAAAAAAAAAAACATAGCAAACCTGGCGTGGTAGTGCATTCCTGTAATCCCAGCAGTGAGGAGGCTGAGGGAGGATTACAGGGAGTTTGAAGCTATCGTGGACTACACAGTGAACTCAAGGCCAGCCTAAATTACATAGCAAGACCCTATCTTAAAAAAAAAAAAAAAAAAAAAAAAAAAAGCAATGCAGCACTGAAAAAAAAAGCATGTCACAGGGCTAGGGGTGTAGCTCAGTGGTGGAAAGTTTGGCCTCCACACTCAAAGCTTTGGCTTCAGTCCCCAGCATTATTTAAAAAAAAAAAAAAAAAAGTGACACAGATGTTCTTCAAATAAATGAAAAAGTCCAAAATAATGTGCTATTATTTGTAAAACTAAAAGAGGGAATACTTACATATACATAAATGCGGAGTATACGTGGGTTAGAAACTCACTGGTGCCTCTATGGGAAAAAGGAGGGTAGGGGTGGGAATAGAGACTTACTGTTTTCACTGGTCATCCCTTGTTATCCATGGAGAACTGGTTTCAGGCCTCTTGACAGTAACAAAACCAAAGCAAGCTCAAGTCCCTTAAATAAGATGGTGTAGTGTCTGCAAATAACCTATATATATCTAATCTAGTGTGTTACCCCTGGATTATTATAATATCCACCACCAAGTAAATCCTATGGAAGTAATTCTGGCTGTATTGTTTAGGGATTAATGACAAGACAAAAGCTGGCACATGTTCAGTACAGTCAATTTTTTTCAAACACTTTCAACTCATAGTTGGTTGAACCTACAGATAAGGAACCTAGGATATGGGAGACCAACTATATATATGCTTATATTTTGAATTTTTTTGCTTTATCAGGTATAAATTTGCTTCAAGTGCAAAAATAGAAAGTTCTTTAAAATGTACAGTTATAGCAGGCATGGTGGTGGCATGCCTGTAATCCCAGCACTCTGGCAGGATGAAGAGGATTCCACATTTGAGCCCGGGCTGGGTAGCTTAGCAAGACTATCTCAAGCCGGGCATGGTGGCGCATGCCTGTAATCCCAGCACTTGGGAGGCAGGAGGATCACTGTGAGTTGGAGACCAGCCTGGGCTACAAAGTGAGCTCAAGGCCAGCCTGAACTGCATAGCCAGACCCTGTCTCAAAAAGACAAGACAAAAACAAAAACACCTCTATCTCAAAATAAAAACTAAAAAAAGGCTGGGATGTAGCTCAGTGTGAAGGCCCTGGAGTTCAGTCCCCAGTACCCCCCCAAAAAAGCTTTTCCATTGATTTCCTCTATCACCACAGTGGAGAAATGTCTGCAGGGGACACTTGGACATCCACCTAATTCCAGTTTTATGTAACCTACTGTTCTCCTCCTCCTTATTAGCTGTGATCCTCAAGTTTTCAGTCCTCCACCAAAGTCTCTTCTGCTAACGACCATCAACACACTAAAATTCTTCACACTCCCTCCAGGTCCTACTCTGCAGCGATGAAGATGTGAAGTAGGGCTAACTTTGTGTGTGTGTTACTGGGGACTGAACCCAAGGTCTCTGCAACTGAGATAAATCTCCAGCTTTTTGCTTTATTTTAGTTTTTTGAGAGAGGGTCTTACTAAGTGGTGAAATTACTCAGGCTGAGCTCAAATTTATGATCCTCCTTGGTCAGCCTCTCAAGAGTTCTGGAATTACAGCAAGTGCCACCAGGCCCAGGCCAATAAGAGAACTTTTTGAAGCATTTGCAATCATAGGGTAAGACTGCCAGTCCCCCTAGGAAATCCTGTGGCTATAAATGAGACATTTTTTTTATTTTGCATGTAGTTTGACTACAATCATTGTATGCCTAAAATGGTAGCAAAAAGAGTGGCAATGGGCCGGGGAGACAGCTCAGCGGCACAGTGCCTGCCTGCAAGCGCAGGGTCCTAAGTTACATTCGCAGCACCAGAAACAAAAAACAAAAAGAGTGGCAAGGCCTCCCTCCAGCAGAATGCTGTTTTCTTTCTCATTCCTCTCCAGTGTTCTGGGTTGTACTCTGTCAGCCCACTGCTTTTTATTTTTTTATTGTACCGGGAATCAAACTCAGCACTTTGCGCTTGCCAGGCAGGCGCTTATGCCGCTGAGCTATATTCCCGGCAGCCCACTGCTTTTTAAATACACATGCACTTGGTCTGCGGTCCATTCTGGTCTGTATATGGGTGGTACACATAAATCTTAATTCCAGGAGTGGCCGGGCGTGGTGGCACACGCCTGTAATCACAGCACTCGA